TGTTAGATGTTTATAGTGGTCAGTATAGGAACCAATAGGGGTGGTATCTGAATGAAAAAAAAAAAAAAAAATTGTCATAGGTTTCCAATAGGGATAGTATAGGAAAAAAAAATGGCATAGGTTTCCAATATAGGTGGTATAGGAATAAAAAAATAGGAGTAGGATTGGAATAAAAAATGTCATAGATATCCTACAAGGGTAGTATCGAAATAAAAAAATGTCATATGCTTCTAATAAGGGTGGAATTGGAACAAAAAAAAGGGTAGTATCGGAATAAAAAAATGTCATAGGTTTCTAATAGGTTTCCAATAGGATAGTATAGGAATAAAAAAAAAATGGCATAGGGTTGGTATAGATAGAGGTACTATTGGAATAAGAAAGTATTTTAAACCCTGAGGTTTGGTCAAAACCAATATACTCCTTACGGTATTAATAATTACTCTCAACCTCCCTATGTGATACGTGTCTAATAATTGATATTTTCAATCCCTTTACATTAATCTTTGTGATATGTTTTGTGATCATTTGAGCTGATTAATATATTTTATGAATTAGGAAATGAATGGAGGCATGCAAATGAAAGTGGAGAATAATGTGCAGTTTTCAAACATTGGTAAATTCGATCTCTGAAGGTTCAGTAGAGACTTTGATGATCTTAGAGTTCAAGAATGAGAAAGAGGTCTTCTTGAGGTTTGAAATAGACATCCTGAGCTTTTTAAATTGGGCTTATGCGTTTTAATCTTAGTAGATTTGGGCTTTCAAAGTTTACATCAAAATCAAAAGATCCAATTCCGTCACAACTTGGGCACAGGTCAGTAATTGGGCTATAACTTAAGTTCCAGACGTCCAATTGAGATGATTAAAAATGCATTGGAATGCTTATAACTAGGGCTAAAACTTTCATGAAGAGTCCAGGCCCGAATTCAGTTGTTTTCTAACCTGAAAATCAGCTCACAATTTCCAGTAGAAAATTAGTCAATCTATTTTTGAAAGAGTGTGACTCAATACCTACAATTTAGGAATTTAAGTTGTAAACCGTTTGGGAGGTTGTACATAAGATTTTTAGGGTTATTTGAAGGGGCTACAAATAGAACATTAGGTTTTTAAGGAGAAAACACACACACACACACACACAAAGAGATTTATTCAGAAACACTTAGTGGTTTTCAGTTTAAGATGTTAGGCTAAACCTTTTCAAATCAATTCAAGGGGATTCCAATTCCTAACACATATCGACGGTATAATTGATAAAATAATGTAATTTCTTACATTTCTATAGATTTGATTTATGATATTCTGTTTTAGTGGAATACGATATTTGATTTGTTTAATTTACATCAGGCCAGGTAGATTGATTAAATTAATATCGATTGCTAGAATTAGGGATTGTATTACGTAATCGATCTTTTCCTAATCATGCAGTAGCAATTAGTAATAGAAGATTGTGGATAAACTTTCTAGTTTGTTACTTGAATAACAAAACATAAGTTTAATAATCCGAGCTTGTGAGATTGTTGCTTAGATTAACCTATTTCATTGAAACTTAAAGCAACCATTACATTATATCTGAAGAGCTTGTTCTAGGTTGTCTAATGGCTAGAGACTATTGAAGAGCATGTTTCAATAGTCAGAATTAAGGAGAATTCCAGGTAGTAGAGTTTGATACTACCTAGGGTTGATACTTCCATGAAAGGGTAGGATTGTTGCAATTGAGGATATAAATTGATTGTGAGGATGAGATTGAACCGAAAACTAAAGTTGTTTTTTATATTGATTTTCATTCATAATTTCGTTTTGGTAATTAATTAGTTTCCTTGATTTTACGAACCCCTCAGATTATATTTTGGTTATTTAGGTCAATTTAATTTAGGAATTTATTTTTTTATGAAAGTTCTAGGATTTAATTTTAAACAATTGGAATTTAGATTCAACTACTTCCCTGTGGGATCGACATTTACTCATACTATCTACTGGTTAATAATTAGGAGTAAGGTATAGTAATTTTGTAGTGTTGACGACACGTTGTCACTATGGTATTGATAATGACTCTTAACCCCTACCATCAGTGTCTTTTTCTTACTTTTAACCATAGAAAAGGTAAATGACCTTAATGTTCTCATCAGCTATGCCTATAAATCTCAACCCATCCCCTTACTTTCACTTCATACATAGCAGTGCCTAGGGATGGTCACAGGCCAAGTTGGGGTCAGCCTGAAGGCCCAAGGGGATTCCTCGAATCCAGCCTGATCCTCAAACGGAGATTTTGGGGAATCTTCGAACTCCCTGTGAAAAATGTCAAAAAATATCATATTTTTTTTTAGATCTAGTAAGTCTTATCAAATTATAAAAAATATATATATATATGTTTCTTATGAAATGATAGATTATGTCGATTTGATAAATAATAGATTATGTCTATTTAAGATGATTTTTTTTTTTTTTTTTTTTAAAGTCTCTTCTCAAATTATTAAAGAGAATTTAAGATAAATTCTAAATAAATAACTACCATAATTTATTATTAATTAATTTAAATGTCTCAATACATATATATTATGTACTTATGTTAATAACATTTACAACTTATTTGAATAAAGAATATGTTATTATCTATCAATAATATAACGTATATATTAACATTTAGTCATTTACATATATATCAAGTAATTTATATATGCATATTTAGCTTATTATATTTAATACAGACAATTTCTCTATTATTGTTTATTACCCATTTGTATATGGTTTCACTCAATGTTCCCCCTATTATATTATTATAATTCACATTTGAATTTGAATTTGATCAATTAATAGTGTGAAACAATCAATTATTAAAATGGTAATTTCTTGACAAATGTACTTTTCTTTTACATTAGTAAATTACTAAATTGTGACTTGTTACATAATACATTTTATTGTGTCTCTTCATCTTTATAATACAATATATGAATTTTTTGAATATCACATATAGTTCATCTTCCTTCTTCTAGTTAATTGGTAAGTTAATTTAGAACGATTTTAAATGTCGATTTAAGAATTAATTTGTTTTTGTATAATTTATGGCTTTATTTATTGATTTTCAACTATTCAAATTAAACAGTTAAACTTGACTAAAGTCTACCACTATGACTATATATATATAGGCCCAATTCGGGGCCACTATGGACCAGGGACTAGACTATCTCTATCCTCGGCCCAACCTCGAGTTCGGGGATTGCTTTTGGGCCTAGTCCCCAATTAATTTGAGGAATCTCTGCCCCGTTCAAGGTGGGTTTCTAACGGGGTGAGGAATATGCCCATCCCTAGCAGCTCCCAATACCCATGGTAGGCTTTAAAAAATTATTAAATTATGTAAAATATTACAAATTTTAATAAGAAAATAGAAAATAAACTAAAAACAAAAAATGGAATAATGAAAAGAATAAGAACTATATTAAAAAATTAAAAATAAAATTATCTAAGAATTGAAGAACTTACTTTGTAAAAAATAAAAATAAAAATAGTACAAATTGAAAAAAAATAAGTAAACAAAAATTGAACTTGGAAAATAATTTTTAGATTTTAACTTCTTTGTTTTTTTAGGTTTTTGTAGTATATTTTTTTTAAAAGTATTTTTAAGTTTTCAAAATCTTTTTAAGTTTTTTATCCTTTTTTATTTAGTATTTGTGTTTTTAGGTTAAGGATTTGTGAGTTTTTTGCTTTTCTTATTAGTTATTTTACTTTTTTTATTTGCAAATGAGTTAATAGGGTAAATTATTCAAGTTCAAAATATAATTAGGGTAATTCTTAATTGTGTTTGGTCAAATTCAATCAACTCCCATATTTGTTGCGGCTTATGTGGTAGTTTTACAAGTTTTAGGGGTGTAAAGGATTAACCTTTTGTAATTATAAATATTTAGGTGAATTTTACTCTTTTATCCTTGCTTTCATTAAAACTAACCGAACAAACTTTAGGGGGCTGATGGGAGAGGAGTTGAGAGTAATTACCAGTACACCAGGGGGTTTATTGATTTGGGCAAACCTTGGGAGGTTAAAAGATCTTATCCTTAAAAAAATGTCATAGGTATTTTTATAAGGGTAGTATCGAAAAAAAAAATGTCATAGGTTTACAATAGGGGTGGCATAGGAATAAAAAAAAAAGGTCATAGGTTTCCAATAGGGATAATATAGGAATTAAAAAAATGGCATAGGTTTTTTTATTATAAGGTTAGTATCAGACTTAAAAAAAAAATGCCATATGGTTCCGATAGGAATAAATAGAAAAAGTCCATATGTTTCCAATAGGGATGCTATAGGAATAAAGAAAAATGGCATTGGTTTTAGATACTGGTGGAATATGTTATTAACTATGAAAAAATAAATTGTACGACTCCACTGGGGATCGAACCCAGAATCTCTGGTTCCGTAGACCAGCGCCTTATCCATTGGGCCATGGAGTCATTATAGTTTTCCAAACTCTATTTTTTAACTTAAATAATAAATTTTGAAAATTTACTTATTCGGATTGATGAAAAATTAGAAGTTGGAATTCACATTATCTCTGGAAAAAATGTAGTAAAAAATTTATCATTTGTAGTAATTGACCATGGATTGAGTTAAACAAAGAAGATGAATAAGTATTTCGATAATTATTTTGTACTTATCCTAGTATAATCAAATCATCACATAAAAAACATCAAAGCCAATCAATCAACTTAATAGCAGTTGCAACTATGAGATTTGTATTCTCCATCCTCATTTCAATTATGATTCTGCCACTATAAATGGTTTCTTTTATCATTATTATTTCTTTTTAATTAAAGGAATAATTCAGGAATTGGGTATATGAATCTTAACAAACAGATTTGAATATGACCTTATACCAACAATTCATATCTTGGTAAGATATTGGCCATCAATCAATTCTCTTCCTAAAAAATTGATGGCCAATATCTTACCAAGGTGTTATAGCCAATTTAACCGCTTAATCTTCTCTCCCAAAACTGTTGCAGTATCAATGGAGATAAAGATCAACATTTGAGAATAGGAACTTTACCTTTTTGGCAAAATTGCCCCTTATCTAAACTCTCCAATTTAACCATATTTCATTAATATTAGATTAATTTTACTTTTCATATTTTATTTTTACCTAGTCTGTCTTGTAAATTGTAATTGTGTATAAATATCAGTGTATGCAGTCCATTGCTTAACCATCCGACACTTCTCTTCTGACAACCTCTAATGGAGTCTCGTTTCTTTTCATCCCTTGTGACTTTCCTTGTATTTTCATCGCTGAGCTTGAGCCCATGGTTAGCGTTTGCCGGGCGCCCCGCAACAAGCGGTAATCAAAAGTGTTGCTTCCCAGCAATATTCAACTTTGGTGACTCCAATTCAGACACTGGTGGGTTATCAGCAGTGTTTGGTCAGGCTCCTCCCCCTCATGGCATGACATTCTTCGGCGGTCCCGCTGGCCGCTACTGTGATGGCCGTGTCATTGTTGACTTCATTGGTAAATAACTCAATTTCTCTTATCATTTCTGTGTTATCTCATCTCATGTCATTCATATCTATAGTATCCATTAACTCTTTAATCCTTCAATAGCTGGTTTCTTGTCATTGAATCATGTCAATCAATGAATAAATAGTTAGTCAATGATGATTAATCAGGACGTTTCTATCTTATCATGTTTATCTTTATCATGTGACCAACCAAATATTGAGTAAGCGTTACTCAACATATTGTCTTTATTTGAGAGATGGAAATGGAAATTAAAGTATCTTGAAAAGTTTAACCAAAAAAAAAAAAAGAAAGAAAATCCAGCGATGTATAAGTTGAGAGACAAAATTATCAACTTTTGGCCCCACTATGCAACTTTCCAACGTACCACATGTGTTCTGGATTATTTTATCAGATTGCGCGTGTTCTGAGTTCAATTATTGCAAATGGTGGATAGAGACTGTTTGTTTTTCAAGTCCGAAAAATTAGATATGAGATTTTCTGGCTACTACCGTTGATTGTTGGATGTTTATTTTCAGCTGAGCACTTTGGATTACCATACACTAGTCCATATCTGAGTGCGATAGGAACCGACTTAAACTATGGAGCCAACTTCGCCACGGCAGGATCAACCATCAGACCCCAGAACACAACTTTTCATGATACCGGTTTCAGTCCCATTTCCTTGGATGTTCAGTGGAATGAGTTCTATGATTTCCATACTAGATCCCAAGTTGTCCGTAACCACAGTGGAGTTTACCAGAAATTATTGCCCAAGAATAAAGCAGCTTATAGGGATATATTGCCCCCCATTGATGTCTTCAACAATGGCTTGTACACATTCGATATTGGCCAAAACGATCTCACTGCTGGTTACTTCCTAAACAAGACTACTGATGAAGTTCGAGAATATGTCCCAGAAGTTGTTAATAAGCTGAAAGACATCATCAGCGTTAGTCATACATAACACATAACCAAACTTCTTTATAAGTATCAATAATTGAGTGACTTAATTTTGTTGATGAAATTGTGGTATGCAGTGGATATACGGGCTTGGAGGAAGAAGCTTTTGGATTCACAATACAGGTCCGGTTGGCTGTCTACCGTATGTCTTTGAACGTATTCCAGTTTTAGCTTCACAGGTTGATAAGGCTGGATGCGCAATCCCATTCAACGATGTGGCTCAATATTTCAACAGCAAATTGAAAGAAGCTGTGGCACAATTGAGGCAGGAGTTTCCATTGGGCGCCTTCACATATGTTGATATCTACAAATTAAAATATACCATGTTTCACGATGGAGCCAAGCACGGTTAGACTTAATTTAAATTACCAAGTGATGAGTTATTATTATTGTCTATATTGAGGATTATGTATTGATTAATGCAGGTTTCACGGAAACGATAAAGAATTGCTGTGGTTTTGGTGGAAGGTATAATTTCAACTTGAAACAGGGCTGTGGATCAACGGAAATTGTGAATGGGACGCAGGTGGTGTTGGGAAAGGCATGTGACAAACCAGGAGAATATGTTGTTTGGGATGGAGTACACTTCACTGAAGCAGCTAACAAATTTATCTACAACAATATTGTTAGTGGAGCTTATTCGGATCCCCCTGTTCCTTTGGATATGGCTTGCCACAGAATGGATTGAGCCAGCTAGTTTTCATTTCTGTTTATGCACAGGCTAGCTAGATTTTCCATCTTCTCTTGTTAGCAATGCACATTTTAGTTGAAAATAATTAATAAAATTTGGAAGCAGTTTCTTAGTTCTATATAATTTGTCTCTTAAAATCAGTTTTCTTAGCATATCTGTAAAATGGGCCAAACAATTCCACTTCTAAAATTGAAATTTCAAAACAACAAACTATTTCCGAATCCAAGATAGGAAAGCATGATCCAGAATGAACAGAATCCTTTAATAACAAATTTTCAAGGAAATTTTTTTAGTAACAGAAATCATATTAATTAAATTTTTGAATTTAATTAATTAATTCAAGTTGCCATACCATTTTTTATTAGTAGCCCAAACCCCCGTCTTCTCTCTGTTTTCTCTCACTCTATCTCATGGAGCCTCGCTACTGTAAGCCTGTAATCATTTTAACCCTCTTAATTTCAGTAGCAACTACAACAACAGGTTTAAAGGCTTGCAATTTTCCAGCCATTTTTAACTTCGGTGATTCCAACTCAGACACTGGCGGCCTTTCAGCGGCATTCGGTCAAGCTCCTTCCCCGAATGGAGAGACGTATTTCCACACCCCAGCCGGTCGTTTCTCGGATGGTCGTCTCGTTATTGATTTTATAGGTACTTAATTACTTCCTTTTTCTTTTTTCTCATAAGTCAAAGACGAGGCAAAATGAAATTTAAATTCGTTATGACTTTCAAATTTGAATTATGGGGAGGCATAGATCTCAAGAATATTGGTCCAGCAATTAAATGCTATAAACTTTACCAGTTGTATTGCTGATCCATGGAATCTGTCAATTAGAAATTTATATTTTATTATAAATCATCATTGGAGAATCGCACGTGAGATTTTGCCAAATATGATCCTAAAACAATGCTTAAACTGCTGACAAAATGTTTCGATTATCTAAAATGCAAGGTGATCAATTTAAATATATAGATTTCATTTGATTTTAAGGAATTAAATTAATTCTGCTGTCTCATGTTGGTTGTCAGCTGAAGGCTTGAGATTGCCTCATCTCAGTGCCTTTCTGGACTCTGTGGGATCAAACTTCAGCCATGGGGCTAATTTTGCTACCGCTGGATCAACAATTAGGCCTCAGAACACAACCATCTCACAAAGTGGGTACAGTCCCATTTCACTAGATGTGCAATCCGTTCAGTACTCAGATTTCCATAGAAGATCTTCACTACTTTCGAGACAAGGTGATATTATATACTTTACTTTGAATAATAGAGAAAATCCCAAAACTAACCTATTGAATAAATCATTGAACATTTAGATACAAATAGTTAAACATTATACTCTCAAACAATAATGGATAGTTTTTGTACAACATAGTTTTAGATTTTTGAACATTAGGGTCCATCTATCAATTTTAAATTCATTTATTTCTTAATTGACAACATTCGATGGCTGATAACAATGTCAATGTAACGTTTCTTTTCACTTTGATGTACATTTGAATAACAATGGGGAGATATATAATTTGGCATAGGAGGAGTATTCGCAGAGTTGGTGCCCAAGGAGGATTATTTCGCTCAGGCATTGTACACCTTTGACATTGGCCAAAATGATATCACATCTGGTTACAAACTAAACATGACTACTGATCAAGTCAAAGCATATATTCCTGATGTCCTGCACCAGTTCTCCATTGCCATTAAGGTCAGATTTTTACTCTTAAGAATACAATTCATAATATAGTAAAGCTAAGTGTTCAATTAATGTTCTTAAACTCGTCCAGAATGTATATAGTCAAGGAGGGAGATCATTTTGGATACACAACACGGCTCCACTGGGTTGCCTTCCATATATTTTGGACCGCTTTCTTGTTACAGCAGCTCAAATAGATAAATACGGCTGCGCCACTCCCTTCAATCAGGTGGCTCAGTTCTTCAACACTAAACTTAAAGAAACCGTAATTCAGCTGAGAAAAGGTCTTCCTTTGGCTGCAATTACCTATGTAGATGTCTACTCTATCAAGTATATTCTTATCACTCAAGCCCAAAAACTAGGTAACCAACCATCAACACTTGTAAATTCCTTGTCTACAGATGAACAAACGTGGGTGATATTATTGTTGTCTGTGGAATTGCAGGATTTGAGAAGCCTCTAATAGCGTGTTGTGGTCATGGTGGGAAGTATAATTACAACGGGCACAGAAAATGTGGTAGCAAGATTACTGTAAATGGGAAGGAGATTGTGATTGCAAATTCGTGCAAAAACCCATCTGTTCGAGTAAACTGGGACGGGGTCCATTACACAGAGGCAGCCAACAAGTGGTTATTCAATCAACTGGTGAATGGCTCGTTTTCAGACCCACCACTCCCCTTGAGAATGGCTTGTCAAAGAATGGACCACTAATATCAGTTCACTTTTGCCTTTCAAAAGATAGGAATGGAGTAACCTTTTACACAGTAATAGGTAAGAGGTTTTATTTATTGGGCTTAGTTGCTGTCTTACGATAACTACTCTTTTGAAGTCTGCTNGGTCATGGTGGGAAGTATAATTACAACGGGCACAGAAAATGTGGTAGCAAGATTACTGTAAATGGGAAAGGGATTGTGATTGCAAATTCGTGCAAAAACCCATCTGTTCGAGTAAACTGGGACGGGGTCCATTACACAGAGGCAGCCAACAAGTGGGTATTCAATCAACTAGTGAATGGCTCGTTTTCAGACCCACCACTTCCCTTGAGAATGGCTTGTCAAAGAATGGACCACTAATATCAGTTCACTTTTGCCTTTCAAAAGATAGGAATGGAGTAACCTTTTACACAGTAATAGGTAAGAGGTTTTATTTATTGGGCTTAGTTGCTGTCTTACGATAACTACTCTTTTGAAGTCTGCTCCACCACCACCATTGGCCCAATTTCTGCGAGCATGTGGCAGGCAGCTTGTTATGGGCCAACTCATTTTTTTTTTCCCTAAAAAAACTTTAATAATTGTTTGTTTACTTCAATGAAGTAAATTAGGTAGAATATTAAACAAATTTAGTTAAGATGGTAGAATTTCTATATTTATATATAAAACAATCAAGTGAAGAAAACAATAAGAAGACCCATTTGAGCTACATATGCTTATATATAAAGAGTTTTCTGTCAACTCATTACATCCATCACCATCAATTTGCATAATCCCAAACATGGTGGATTGGACGTGTGTGAATATTGGTGAGCTTTTTCTGGTACACACAAAGTGAAAATATATAACATGGGATATGACTACATTGCTTTATATTATATATAAGAGCCTATCGAGATTGGAGAATTATTGTGCGTGCAATGCATGTGTAGTCCAATCTGGCCTGTCCAATCTTGTCCAGACTCAAAGATGGGATAGACTTCCAGCTCTATTTGGGCCCATGTACTGCAGTCTAATTGACCGGCATCCTAAATTTGTATGAACATGACGACCAGTTTTCTGTTTGAGATGATGATACGCATTTATCGTATATATGATAATGATGATGATGATGGTACTAATAAACTACTCTTGCACCACTCACCATTCACTCTACCTTCCAAGCATATAGGAACAAGCAAAACCTTGATGATTCACCTGCATTGTCATCATCTTCTTCTACTGATTCATCCTGCCTGCATACTTCTCCCAACTTTGATGAAGATGATGAAGGAGCTGATGTTGACGAGTTCACTGGCTTGAATATGAACATACCATGTCTTGGACCTGAACCAAATAGCCAATCATGGACATCCCAGTAAACTTCTACACTAGTTTTGCTTATTCTAACGGACTCATTGCCTCTGAACTTCCATTGAAGGTGTTTGATATGAATAGCTAGCTTTCCATCTACTCTTATCTGCAGTTCTGGATCAAACCCACCAAGACTGCTGTCACTGCTTATACTACTGTTGTTGCACTCAATTGAGATATCATGAAATGGCCCCTTTTCTTGGAATTTAACTCTCGTTGAGAATTTCTTCTTACCAAATACATGTTCCTTCCTTGATACCAGCATTGGTTCAATAAGAGAAGGCCTGCAACCAGTCTTTCGAAACGCGTCTTTCTTTAAATCACCAAGAAGTAAAACTACCTCTTCTTCACAAACAATGGCAACATAGTAATCCGATCTTGGCTCAGTCTCGCCATTGAATTTTGCAGCTTTAAGGTCCCAAACAACATCAACCATTCTACCATCTACTATAAAGTGCTTGGAGCCTTGTTTTCTCCAGAAGTACCATGGCTTGAGTTCAACTTTGCACCGATAATGCTTGTCGCCATCAGTTCCTTGAACGGAAACAGATAGGCCATGAAGCAGCAAATTCTTGCACCATGTAACAGTGACCAAACGACACTCACCGGCAAGCTTTGTTCGATATACAGACATAAACACACTCTGGCCTGACCTGGTTACTGTGGCTGTGTCATCAGCTTGCCTTTCACTAGAAGAAAAGCAAGCAGGAATGCCTATTGAATCTTGCATGGTAGTAGTTGAAAGTTAAGAGCTAGTGTGAAAAGGAATTGATTGGTTTTAACAGAAAATGGGAATCAATCTTGAAGTGGTGAGAATAGTATAATAAAAGTATCGGATCAAGATCTCATCCATAAGATCTGCTTCATGGATGCTGCCAGAAGTTGTGTGGGCAGCTTGCTATTATCAAGAGGAAGATGCTCAATTTCCAAGTTGGCAATAGTTTTGAAGGCAGGGAGTAGGGAGTGAATATGACGGAAGAGAAACTTATTTTATATTCAAACTATGTCTAATGTCTATGTGCAACCTAAGCTTTCCCATCAGCTTCTCACTTTTGCTCTCTCTTTCTCACAAAACTACTTTTTCCTTCTTCAAAGTGGGGTTGGCTTCAATGATAGGTTTCATCCCCAATTAAATTTATCTTTTTCATGCATGGTTAAAAACAAGCATACCCCTTTTTATCAGATTTGAAGTCTGTGTGAAAATGTACCTCCAAAAAGTTGTTCCTATATGAGAGAGAATTGGGTCCCTTCCAGCAAGAGAACATGTGGGTGGGGGCTGTAAAAATAATACATGAAATTGGATTTATCGCTTCTGCTCTTATTCATGCCCCAAAAAAGAACACGACCATTCGCCTTCATTCTTCCATTTGATGATCTGAGTCATATTTTTTATTATGCTAAAGTTCATGATTTATGCAATATGATTCTTGGTTTTGTAGGTTTCCATAAACAAATGGATGGGTTGCCAGTTTTATCAGTGTAATGAGATGCCTGGGATGGGGTGAGATTACGATTCATATATAATCAAATTGAATTCCTTTCAAAATCTATCCATCATAATTCTCACCAATATCCTGCCAAAAAAAAAAAAAAAATTATAAACTGTGCACTTTACAGAAGATGACCTAGAGGACAGGAAGAAATAGAACAACAGAGAGCAGTAGTTCAATGAAAACCTCAGTCAGGTGCTGGGAAAAATCACAAATGTCAATGAACCAGATGCCCGGAAAGCATAACAGAAGGAAGAAGAAAAGGAACTTCCCTTAGCAGATCAGCAGTCAAAGCAAATTAGGTAAAAATGTGCCAGTCTTAGGCAGCTGCTGCAATGCTTCAAATAGCTTCAAATATACAGGAAAGAGATTGGTGAAAGACTAGTCAACGTGCTGGTCCATTCTATAGGATCAGCTGTTGCTTCTAAAGTGGTTCAAATCGATTATCATCACTGTTATGTCATCCAAAGTACCCCTACTGACAGCAAGGTTTGCAAGCTCTTTACAAGCAGCCATAAGTCCAACAGAAGGAGGACTCTTCTTAAAGCCTGTGTTTTCTTGATTGGAAGGCTCGGTCTTTATATTTATTTTCTTGATCAATGAAATTCTTCGTGACTTTGATGGAGGGCTTCCGAATTCACAACCAAAGTCATCTTCACTATCTTTCCAGCTATCAGCAGTCTTCTTACATTTTGGTGAAGGAGTTGTCACTTTTGGCTGCTTGACCAGTGAAATCCTGCGTAACTTCGATGAAGGACTTACACTTACACACCCATAATCCTCATCATTTTCTTTGCTAAAATCGCAGGAGGGTCCCAATGTTTTTCCGGCCAATAACCGTTTCACAGTATCAACAGATTCTTGGGTGCCAACCTGGGTAAAATGTCAAAATCAAAATCAGTAATCAAGTGCAAATTGTCTATAACTATTCTCATCAAAGTTACTACTACTCTCATCAAAAGAAATAAATTTGGTATCTAACTATTCTCAACAGAAGAAATAAGTTTGATATCTCTATAAATGCAGTAAGACCTTAATGCTGGTAATGACACAGTGCATGACAAGAGAGTGGCTTGTTGACCATATCATGTATCCTAGATGTGTGGTAGGTATTGAGAACCTAGCTACCGTCTGTTTGCAAATATTACTACAACCTAATGTTACCAACTCTAGCATTTCAAACTGACTCTCCCCCAGTCCTCAAAAAATTTATTAAAGAAAAAAGGAGCTTGATCATCTATATCGTTGCAGAGGACTTAATCCATCAAATAAATGGTAAGACTGTGTCAGCAGACAAGGCATACAAAATGCATATGAAAATAGAAAAAGATGAGTCAACTTAGGACAAGCAACTGCAACAAGAAGCACAAATCAACTAGAAGGACACAGCAAATAACAAGTTGCTGCTGCTCTTTCACAGTCTGCCCTTCTGCTCTTTCACAGTCTGTCCTTTCTCACCTCATCCCAAAGTCCATCGGATGCCAACACAAGAAACTCCGTGTCTGAATTTAAGTGAAGGATTTTTGTATCAGGCTCAGCCAGTACCCAATCCTTCAGATGAGCATCTCCAATACTTCTAGACACAGAAAGTATCCCATGTACTCTCCAAGCTCCTCGATGCAATTCCACGTATCCTCCCTGCACCACAGTATCAGTATAAACCGTCAAAAGTCAAAATAAATTTCAGCTCCTCCCTTCTAATTTTGACAGCACAAGAAAGAGCACCTTATTCTCTATTCGTTTACGTTCATCCTCTCTCTCTGCTCTATGATCCGTTGTAAGGGCTTCAGCCACTCCTCCTCTAGATAGAACAGCTCTACAGTCTCCCAAGTTTGAGACAACAACCTCTTGTCCTTCAATTAAGGCTGTGACACAACAGGCACCACTGACTAAACCCTGCATTTCATTTAGAATATCCCCTAAGTAAAAGGCAATCAAGGTGAACATTGAAGATTGGCAGAAAGATGCAAGTATCTCATACAAGGAAATATTGATGTATGAGAATTGTAGATACACTAACTCCACTTTTAACTTTAAATTCAAAAGAAATTTGTATGTACAGATTAAAAGAGTTATAATAGCTCAACATATCTTCCCAGGTTGTCGCTACAAATAAAAATGTTATATGTTTCACATATCGTGATCTGCATTCCAAGCCATCAAAAGCCATGCTTTTCTATAGTAAATTATTAAACTTAAAACATTCAACTTTTACCATCTAGCTGGGCTTCTGATGTTATGTTTTGGTGAAAAAACTATAATATCAATAAGCCGAAGGCCTAAACAGCGGCAAATTGAATAAACAACTCCTTTCAGTTGTTCGAAAAGCAAAATATACAAAATCTTATGGACAGGTTACTTTTAGGAAAAAAGAAAAAACCAGCATCATATGAAGATGATAGATCCATTCAACACTACAAACAGTTTTACTATCTAAGGTTATAAAAGAGTTCTTATAGAATATGCAAATGATTATGACAGTAATTAACTTTTATTGTATGGGTTGCGACTGAACCCTTCAACTGCAACAACAGAATTACACACGACTAATGGATCCTCTCCAATCGGATTCGTACATGTGATAAGACTCTAGACAAGTCTTTCAAAATTCAATTCAAGTTTCAAAAGTCTTTGGTCTTGCACATTATTCTTTCATTGTTAGACCAACCACCCATGTTTTCTCAAAACTATACTGAGGACTAAAAGTTTATCTGAGAAGCCAAGATTTGTAATTCTCCGACTGTCTTTTTAATTTCAGGGTAAGAATTTATAGTCAACTCACTTAAAGAGGGTTATTTACATTATTCATAAATACATTATTTGAAATTCAAAGGCATTAAATGCATTGTAACGCCTAGGAAAATAAAATCTTTTGTTTCTCTTTTTAATTACTTAGTTTAAGCTAAACACCAGAAAGACTTTACTAATTCACACACAAAACCATAAACATAAAACAAAAACAAATTGCTATTACCTGTTTCAAGAACTCGTCATCGGTTTTTAGATACCCAGCTTTAACAGCTTCATCCTTTTCCTTTTCTCCTGTACAGTCCTTCATCATTTCAAAAATATTTTTATGCAAATTTTCTACAACAAACTCTGCAGCCTTTTTGCCTCCATGTCCATCATAGACGCCAAAGAAACTCTATAAATAACCAACAAAGAAAGAAAAAAATCATATTCAAAATTACAATATAATGTGAAAATGAGGAAAAAGAAAAACAAATAAAAAGCTGGTGCAAAATAATTACTTTATTGGAGTTGCCCTGTAAGCAAGAAATGATATTGTGAGAATCTTCCATGAACTTTTTCTTGCCTTTGCGGGAGAAAACAGCGACACCATGTCCATTAAAAGAAACGGCGTCGACATCGTCGTTGAGAGGCGTCAAGTCTTTGAACTTAAGCTTGTCCTTATGGATTTCTTGCAAGACATTGGGGATCTGAATCTTGGGAGGTCTCTTACGCTTCAAAGAGGGGATTTGGGAGAGTGATTTGTTGTCCATTCTGATCTGGGAAAGGAAAGAATGGTCGCTGGTGGTAATTGAAGAAGGCATGGTGAAGAGAGAGTGTAATGGGGTAATAGCAATAGCAACGGCTATAAAAGAAAGGGAAGAGAAAAAAAGAACTGAAGTGTAGGAGTCAAAGTAAATGAGAGGAGTTCAAAGGATAATCTCCGGTTGTGCCGTTGGGATGTATTTTACTATTTTTGGGTCAACAGTTTGAATGCGTACTTAGTCGACACTGGAGGGAACTCATTTTTGGTGCTTTTTACTTTTGTCCCTTTTAATCAAATAAAACAAAATTATGGTCCCTTTTTTTTTACTCTAAATAAATATATATATTTCAAATTATTATTTTTTTTGCATCATATCAAATTTATTTAGTGGGATAAAGTAATGAATATTATAGGGTATCTGGTTCAAAGTGGAAAAAAATATTTGAATTGTATTTTTTAGATTTTTTTTATACGAAATTATGTATGTTTTCAATGCTCCACTATTTTTTTTATTGTTTATTAATTTATTTTTTTTTTTTTTTTTTTTGTTTTTTTTTTTTTATTTTTTTTATTTTTTTTTTTTTTTTTTTTTTTTTTTTTTTTTTTGTAAATTTAATTTGTTTTTATTTATATTTTTTTTTATTAATTTTTTATTTTTTTAAATTTTCAATTTTTTTAATTTTTATTTTTTTTTATTTTATTTTTATTTTTTATATTATTTTTTTTTATTTTGTGTTTGTTTTATTTTTTTAATTTTTTTTTTTTTTATTTATATTTTTTTTTTTGATTTTTATTATTTTTTTTATTTTTTGTATTTTTTTTTTTTTTTTTTTTTTTTATTTTTTTTTTTTTTTTTTTTTTTTTTTTTTTATTTTTTTTTTTTATTTTTTTCTTGTATTTTCTTTTTTTGTATTTTTTTTTTTTATTATTATTTTTATTATTATTTTTTATTTTTTTTTTTTTATTTTTTATCTTTTATTTTTTTTTCTTAATTATTTTTTTTATTTTAATAATTTGTTTTTTTTTTTTATTTCTTTTTTTTTCTTTTTTTTTTTTTTTTTTTTTCGACTTTCTTTTTTTTTTCATTCTTTTTTCTTTCTTTTTTTGATCTTGTTTTTATTTATTATTTTTCTTTTTTATTTTTTTTTTATCTTTTCTTATCTATCTTGTTCTTTTTTATCATTTTTTATTTTTTTTTTTTTTTGTTGTTTTTTTTTTTTTTTGTTTTTTTTTGTTTTTTTTTTTTAATTTTATTTTTTTATTTTTTTTTTTTTTTTTTTGTTTTTTTTGTTTTTGTTTTTTTTTTAAATTTTTTGTTTTATTTTTTTTTTTATTTTTTGTTTTATTTTTTTTTGTTTTTTTTTTTTTTTTATTTTTTTTTTAAATTTTAATTTTTTTTATGTATTTTTTTATCTTATTTTTTTTTATTTTATTTTTTTTTTTATTTTATTTTTTTTTTCTTAATTTTATTTTCTTTAATTTTTTTTTTTTTTTTTATTTTTTTTTTTTGTTTTTTTTTTTAATTTTTTATTATTTTATTATTTTTTTTTTTTTTTTTTTTATTTTATTTTATTTTTTTTTTTTTTTTTTTTATTTTTTCTTATTTATTTATTTTTTTATTTTTTAATTTTTTTATTTTATATTTTTTTTTTTATTTTTTTTGTTTTGTTTTTTTTTTTTTTTTTGATTTTATAAATTTTTTTTTGTTTTTATTTTTTTTATTTTCTTTTTTTAAGCCTCCTACATCCACTTCTTCAAGACAACCTCCTTTAAGTAACACTAGAATTAGTCATCAGATTGCGCCAAAAATACTAGTTTGATAGGATTTCGCCTCTAGATTTATAGGATTTCGTCCATAAGATGTTTGATTAAAAGTATGTGAAAGATTGTCTCTTAAACTAGGCTTAAACACACAACAAGAACAATACTCTCAAAGGTTTTCAAATGAGTACAAGAGAGTGATGATTTTTATTTGGATTTTTAGCTCAAGGGATTTTGTGAGAATGTTTTTAATATGACTTTGTATCTCTAATATTATCTCTCTCTGTTTCTTTGCAATAAAATGCTCTATTTATTGCTCATTACTTCCCTTTGAAGCAAAGAATCATTGTTGCATTTAATACAAATCTGAAAAGCCTACAGACACAAGAGGAACGAGTGTTCCACCATTGCGAATTGTCGTTCCTAACATCAACGGTCACTTAGTATAGCTTTAGGGTTTCTACGATAATCATTCCGCCATCACGAACGGTCATACCACCATCGCTCACAATCATTCCACTGCAGAGAACGATCAGTCTATTGGCTCCTTACAAATCCATTAAAATTCCAAAAACATGCACGACTTCCTAGAACGATGACGTTCTGCCAAGAACGATCTCTAAGTAGAAATGGTCATTCCATCACGAGGAATGATCGTTCCACTTTAGATACATGAACTTCAATTTAATCTTCAAGGCTGGACTTCTAAGATTTGTCAAAGGTGAGAAATGTTTGAATTCTAAGTACTTTGACTTTTGACTTGAATGGAACAAGCATGTTGTTTGGTGGTGTCGTTGCGAGTGACTTGACTTCATTTTAAATAGAAGCATGCACGATCATGTGGAATGATGTCGTGCGGCGAGGACATGCATCTGGGTGTATTTGTTTTGCTTTGGTGTGGATCTCGGTTCTGGTTCTAGCAATGGTGGAACCAAAACTGAAATCGCATAGTACCGATTCCAATTTTTGAGAATCGGAACCAATCCTATGAGGACTAGTTCGAAGTAGGAACCGAAATTGGTTCCAGTTTTCAAATGAGTACAAGAGAGTGATGATTTGATTTGGATTTTTAGCTCAAGAGATTTTGTGAGAATGTTTTTTATATGACTTTGTATCTATGATATTCCCTCTCTCTGTTTCTTTGCAATAAAATGCCCTATTTAATGCTCATCTCTTCTCTTTGAAGCAAAGAGTAGTTGTTGCATTTAATGCAACTCTGAAAAGCCTACAGACATAAAGGAACGAGTGTTCCACCATCATGAACTGTTGTTCCTAACACCAACGGTCACTTCGTATAGCTTTAGGGTTTCTAGAACAATCGTTCCACCATCAAGAACGGTCGTACCACCATCGCTAATGGTCATTCCACCACGGAGAGCGATCAGTCTATTGACTCCTTACAAATCCATTAAAATTCCAAAAACATGCATAGCTTCTTGGAACGATGACATTCTGCCAAGAACGAAATCTCTAAGTAGGAACGGTCATTCCACCACAAGGAACAAGCGTTCCACTTTAGATACATGAACTTCAATTTAATCTTCAAGGCTTGACTTCCAATATTCGTCAAAGGCGAGAAATGTTTGAATTCTGAGTACTTTGACTTTTAACTTAAATGGAACAGGCACGTTGCTTGGTCATGTCGTTGCAAGCGACTTGACTGAGTTGAGAGAGAAAAAATGCTCAAAGGTTTATAGTGATTTGAAGCTTTATCCACAAGCCTCCTACATCTATTTCTTCAAGACAACCTCCTTGAAGTAACACTAGAATCAGATTGCACCAAAAACACTAGTTTGACAGGATTTTGCCTCTAGATTTACAAGATTTCACCCATAAAATGTATGAATAAAAGTATGTGAAAAATTGCTTCTTAAACTAGGCTTAAACACATAACAAGAACAATACTCTCAAAGGTTTTCAAATGAGTACAAGAGAGTGATGATTTGATTTGGATTTTTAGCTCAAGGGATTTTGCGAGAATGTTTTTTATATGACTTTGTATCTCTGATATTCTCTCTCTCTGTTTCTTTGCAATAAAATGTCCTATTTATTGCTCATCTCTTCCCTTTGAAGCAAAGAGTCGTTGCTGCATTTAATGCAACTTTGAAAAGCCTATAGACACAGAGGAACGAGTGTTCCACCATCGCAAACGGTCGTTCCTAACACCAACGGTCACTTCGTATATCTTTAGGGTTTTTGGAATGATCGTTCCACCATCATGAACAGTCGTACTACCGTCATGAACGATCATACTACCATCGTTAACGATCATTCTACCACGGAGAACGATTGGTCTATTGGCTCCTTACAAATCCATAAATCCAAAAACCTGCACGACTTCCTAGAAATGATGACGTTCTGCCAGGAGCGATCTCTAAGTAGGAACGGTCATGCCACGACGAGGAATGGTCGTTCCACTTTAGATACATGAACTTGAATTTAATCTTGAAGGCTTGACTTCCAAGATTCATCAAAGGTGCGAAATGTTTGAATTATGAGTACTTTGACTTTTGACTTGAATGGAACGGGCGTGCTGCTTGGTCGTGGAGTTGCGAGCGACTTGACTTCATTTTGGATAGAAGCATGTACGATCATGTGGAACGATGTTGTGCTGCGAGGAGCGTGCATCTAGGAAACTTTGTGAAACAATGAAAGGTCGTTCCTTTGTCCTGCACGGTCGTACCAATTGGGAAAAGTGCATTTTTTTTTTTATGACTTCTTGTCATACCTTAGCATATTTGTTAGAGAACTAATCAACTCTGTTTTTCATTTGACCCTCTGTTTCTTCTTTTCACAAAAAAAAAAAAAAAAAAAAAAAATAGATCTAGGTTTTTAATTTGAGTAAGACATGTGGGATTGTGGGTAGTGTATTTGTTTTGCTTTGGTCTAGATCTCAATTTCGGTTACAACAGTGGTGGAACTGGAACCGATCCTGTGAGTAGGAATAGGAACCGAAACCCCAGGTACATATCGGTTCCAATTTTGGTGGTTCTTTTGCATACCCCTATCTCCGACACCATTGCATAAATTACTAAATGACTAGTGGTGTTGACCCATATACCCCTAGCATGTTCGTCGACGACGACTAATCGGCGACTCCATTGATCAATTTTAAACATTTTATTTCTAATATTATTTTATTTTTATTAATCCCCAAAAAATAGCTTTTGAATTGTAAAAGCTAGAAAATGGTCATAAACTTAAAATAGAGACTTCTTGGATAACATTATAAATTCATGAATAAGAGGAAATAAGAATTAGATACTAGAAGTACTTAAAAAAAAAAAAAAGAGGAGGTTGGTAATCTGTTCTATCATGTTTAGT